ATCAGCAGCTGGCAGCTGGTTGCATTAGTAATTTAAAGTACGCTCTCTAAAAATGCTAAAATTACGTGTCACAATTAATATCCACCTTAAAGATGGCTTCAGAGATACTACATGCATACATATACCGTATAGGGGGCATATTTCAAGGGGATTTAATTTCGCTAATTTCACGGTTTTAAAAAATTCGTGAAAATTTTTATTGATAAAAATTGTTTTTTACCATACTAATAATGGTCAGTAGAAGAAAAACGCAAAAAAATTTTCCTTGTGAATAGATTGAAAGGTGATTTTCGTGAAATATTTTCCCCGGGAAATATACGGTATGTGTTAAGATATTGGGACTATATGGTATGTGTTAAGATATTGGGACTAACAGAGGTAGGCGCAGACTGTAATTAACAATATGATTGAAACTCAAGTTAAGCAACGAGGAAAAAGAGAGAAAGAGAGAGGGAAAGAGAATACACTCGAGCAGAGGAGTCATCAAAGAGAGTAACTAAGAATAATAACAAACAGAACAAAACAAAAGCACACACTGTGTATGCTTCACAACTATATCACTAGCCATAGCTACATGTGTGAATAAGAATACTACAAACTAAAAATAGATTATCATTTATTAATAATACCGTGTACGACATATATTTCGCAGGGATTAAATTTTGCAATTTTTGCGTTTTGGAAAAATTTGCGAAATTAAAATCTGCAAAATAGCGTGCTGATTGTATAGTAGGTGTGGTAATTACATTAAAATTGCAGCCAAATCGCGAAATTTTACACCTGCGAAATATGTGACATATACGGTAATTAGGATAGATTGACAAGTGTAAATTATAATACCTTTATTCTAATAGTATGTACTGATGGCTTTTATAACGTAGAATTACATGTACATGTACATGTGCCGATGTACTTATAAATTCTTTTTGTTTTTAGACATTTCGTGCAGACTATATAGACTGGTGCCTCCCATTGTTTGATGATGGATCATCTGATCATAATGATTACTCCTGTTCATTTTTTGCTACTGCCGAGGACATGTTCTTTGTCAATTTTACAGCTAGTTCGGGAAAATGGGAAGATTATGACTGCTGTCTTTTTGAAGCGGTATGTCTAATGTACCTTGTTGGCAGATTCATCATTTGTATTGTATAGGGGTTGGCTGCAGTTCCACCAGATTGGATGAAAGCAGAGCAATACAATGGAACAGACGTCATAAATGTGAGCATAATCTAGCCAGTCAAATGAAGAATGTATGCTATGTAGAAAGCTTGAGTTGATTCCGACAAATATTTTTTGAGTTATAAGCATCTTTAAAGATCGAGCCAATTTTTGAAAAATAGCCAAGGCTATAGCCCATGGTATTTTTCAAAGAATGGCCCCAGAATCACACCAAATTTTTATTACATTTTCTGATGCATATTGATGTCCTTATGCTATGTAGAAAGTTTGAGCTGATTCCGATAAATATTTTTTGAGTTATAAGCATTTTTAAAGATTGAGCCAATTTTTGAAAAATAGCCAAGGCTATAGCCCATGGTATTTTTCAAAAAATGGCCCCAAAATCACACCAAATTTTTATTACTTTTTCTGATGCATATTGATGTCGTTGTGCTATGTAGAAAATTTGAGCTGATTCCGACAAATATTTTTTGAGTTATGAGCATTTTTAAAGATTGAGCCAATTTTTGAAAAATAGCCAAGGCTATAGCCCATGGTATTTTCAAAAAATGGCCCCAGAATCACACCAAATTTTTATTACATTTTCTGATGCATATTGATGTCCTTATGCTATGTAGAAAGTTTGAGCTGATTCCGATGAATATTTTTTGAGTTATAAGCATTTTTAAAGATTGAGCCAATTTTTGAAAAATAGCCAAGGCTATAGCCCATGGTATTTTTCAAAAAATGGCCCCAAAATCACACCAAATTTTTATTACTTTTTCTGATGCATATTGATGTCGTTGTGCTATGTAGAAAATTTGAGCTGATTCCGACAAATATTTTTTGAGTTATGAGCATTTTTAAAGATTGAGCCAATTTTTGAAAAATAGCCAAGGCTATAGCCCATGGTATTTTCAAAAAATGGCCCCAAAATCACACCAAATTTTTATTACATTTTCTGATGCATATTGATGTCCTTATGCTATGTAGAAAGTTTGAGCTGATTCCGACAAATATTTTTTGAGTTATAAGCATTTTTTTAAAATGCCAAAATTCTGAAAAATACCCAAGACTATAGCCCATGGTTTTTTCTAAAAAACGGCTCTGAAATCACCCCAAATTTTTATTACATTTTCTGATACATATTGATGTCCTTATGCTATGTAGAAAGTTTGAGCTGATTCCGACAAATATTTTTTGAGTTATAAGCATTTTTTTAAAATGCCAAAATTCTGAAAAATACCCAAGACTATAGCCCATGGTTTTTTCTAAAAAACAGCTCCGAAATCACCCCAAATTTTTATTACATTTTCTGATACATATTGATGTCCTCTTGCTGTGTAGAAAGTTTGAGCTGATTCCGACTTCTATTTTTCAAGCTACGGCCATTTTAAGAAAATGCCAAAATTCTGAAAAATATCCAAGACTATAATAAGCCCATGCATGGTTTTTTCCAAAAAATGGCTCTGAAATCACCCCAAATTTTTATTACATTTTCTGATACATATTGATGTCCTTATGCTGTGCAGAAAGTTTGAGCTGATTCCAACTTCAATTTTTTGAGTTACGGCCATTTTAAGAAGATGCCAAAAATCTAAAAAATACCCAAGGCTATAGCCCATGGTATTTTTCAAAAAATGGCTCCGAAATTGCACCAAATTTTTATTACATTTTCTGATACATATTGATGTCCTTATGCTATGTAGAACGTTTGAGCTGATTCCGACAAATAGTTTTTGTGTTATGACCATTTTAAAAATTGAGCCAATTTTAAAAAATAGACAAGGCTATAGCCCATGGTATTTTTCAAAAAATCGCTCTGAAATCACACCAAATTTTTATTACATTTTCTGATACATATTAATGTCCTTATGCTTTAAGCTGATTCCAACAAATAATTTTCGAGTTATGAGCATTTAAAAAACAAGCGAATTTTTGGAAAAAGAAGCATGGTTTTTTCCCAAAAAATAGCTCCGAAGTCACCCAAACTTTTTATTACACTAATTATCTAAAAGTTTGAGCTGGTTTCGATTAAAATTAAAATTCAACAAAATTAATAATAGCAATACCGGTACTGTAAATAGTAGTTGGTATTTTGTCAAAAGAAAATTCTCCAATTTTATATTGCATATACATGTACATCTTCTAAAATTGAAGTTAGTTAGTTTAGTTATGCTTAATTTGTGCAATTAATATTATTGCTGGATTTTATAGGATATTCCTGTTGATGTATGGTGGTTCCCAGGTACTAGTGATCCTTCAAAACCATGCTATGGCTACTGGAATGCAAAGGATGAGCTCAAGACTCCTGTTAGGTTCTTTGGACTTTCGTCTCTGGGACCAACAATACTTGACTATCGTGATTTTGAGCCTCAGAAGATACCACAAAGTAATTAAAATTTATTATTATTATATTATAATTTTTATATTTCTTTGTGCAGATATTGAAATGACCAAACCAAATGATAACTGTCACAAGAAATGTGAGCCACCACTTGCTGATGTATTAAAGAAGTCTTCTGTTGATAGTGTAAAATGGTCTAAAATAGATTGGCCATCTTGCTAAAAAAAACATTTTGAATAATTATTGTGGTATTATATTATTTTTTTTGCTTAGCCGCGTAATTTTTTGCTGTGCTTAATAAAAAACGAATTAGTTTATTATTATTAAATGCCACGCCCCTCATTTAGCCACCCGGATGTGTGCCATTGTGTGGCCACTGAAGTCAACATCCATAAACAAAAGTACATTCAAATTATTATTTGATAGCTAATTTTAATGGTTCTAGTTTAGAATTATTCTTCAAGCCAGTGATAGTTGATATAATCTGAAGGAGGCTGTAGTGTTAAATCATAGTTATAAAGGTAAATGGCAATAATTATGGCAAACCAAAAGAATTAAACTGATTATAATGATATTATGGTTGGCCAATTATACTCTATGACATTGCAATATGTGGCCATTGCATTGTTTTTACCAAATTGCCAATTAATAATTATTATCAAACTGGCAACTGCCAAGCACTCGTTAACATTATTATGGTTGCTAAAGTGCCGCAATTATCAATCACAAAAAATTAAGAAAATATTAAAATTATCTTCGTATATATACCTTATTAGTAAAGTAAATACTGAAAGTAAAAGTACTATTACTAAATAAAAATGGTACATAATGTTCTTATTATTGTACTGGTAAACCATTGCTCAGTAGCTAGTGGACATTTGGTATTCATATCTTTCCTGTGAATGATGTTTCTGATTTATAATGATATTCATTGGGATACTGTAAATGGAAAATTTTTCAAGCCGCCATTGTGGAGGTATTGCTGCACTGTTTTCAATGGAGCTCGATACACTTTCTGCCATTTTGTAAGAAGAGCAAGCAGTTATAACCTTAAAAAGTGAAAAACTGCAACCTTTAGCATTCTTTTCATAGGTCTGCAACTGTTTGGAGTCACTGGAGTGATGAGGAGAAGTAGAATTGACAGTTTTTAGCCTGTCGGTCCATTGTAGCAAGTGATAGTATGCCTCCACAATGGTGGCCTGAAAAATTTTCCATTTACGGTATCCCAATGAATATCATTATAAATTAGAAACGTCATTCACAGGAAAGACATGAATAGCTATGTATTTCAGATTATAAATCAGCTATAAAATTGTATCAAAACAACTGGCACTAAGGAAGAGTGCGTGAAAGATACTCTTGGTGCTATGCTTAGTATGTTTATTCATTTCTGTTATTTCAATGGCACAGTTGTTTTTAGGCAGTTTGTTTTGTTATAGAATGTTATTCAAGACTAAATTTTGAATAAGTGATTTGTCAGGTTATTCTTGTCTATATAACTGGCGGTCACTTTTTCTTTAGTTATCTACAACAACAATGCATGTTTTACTTTTTTCTTGCTTTCTACTGTTCTTGCTTTCATCTACTATAAGCTATCAGTTACTTGTTACTAATGATGATCAGTTGGAAATATTCTTATGTGACAGCCATCCTTTGACTGAAGATACAATTGTAGTGTTGTCTACTAACATTACTCATATCATTGATAATGTATCATTCTGTATAATCAATGCTACCTACTCACTGACTCTTATCAGTGATTCATCACTACAACAAGCTGTCATTAACTGCAGTAATAATGGCTCCACTCAACCCACTACTGGATTCGCTTTCATTAACATACACAACTTGACTCTGCACAGGTTAGTATGGAGTGGTTGTGGTGGGTATCTGAGAGGTTCAGTAATAAATTTTATCAACTCCACAAATTTTTATTTTACATGGCATCATTTGGCTGTTTTGCTGTTTTCACACGTGAATAATCTTCTCTTTGAAAATATTAATATTACCAGTTATTATGGCTTTGCTTTGCTAGTAATCAATCCATCTAATGTGTCGATTGATAGTGTTTTTATTTCAACATTATCTGCAAGGCATGATCATGGTGGCAATTTCGGTAGTGGTATGCTCTTTCTCTTTTCTGATGGTACTGGTACCACAAAAATGCCATCTGTTCATGTTACCATCAATAATGCAGACATTTCTGGTAATTTTGAAATATATTCAAAAAATGCCAAGTGTCTTTCTGAATTTCAGGAAATTAAAAAGCATGCTCCGGTAATCAACGCTGCTGGTATAACAGTTCTTTATACTCAGCAAAATTATTCTGCTAATGTTGTTATTAAAAACTCAGTTTTTTCTAATAATTTTGGTTATTCGGTTGCAGGTGCAATACTTATCCTTCATTATGATACTGAAGCAAGCATTCACACTGAAATTTCACGAAGTATTTTCACAGAAAATTTTATTTTAGATTATTGTCCTGGTGCTTCATTGTCCTTTTTTGAATACTTCAGTCAAACAAATTATAATTTTATAAATAAATCAAATATGGAACTTCTTTTGGTTAAAAAATGCACTTTTGAGAAGCATGGTTGGAATGGCTACCTCAATATTGGAATCAATACGATTGTGTTTCTTGGCTCTCATAATCCACCCAATAATAGCAAATTAACTAATTTTACATTCACTGATGTTTATTTCCTATATAATACTGCAATTGGGTCATCATGCATTTATGCTGAGACTTACAACAGAGAATCAACAAATAAACGGATTCAAATTGTACTGAGAAATGCCCATGCATCGTTTAATGTACAATATCAATACCTTGGAACTGGTAGCCAGGAATACCGATATTCCATTTTTCCTGTCATAACAAATTCTGGTGTGTTTATGGTGTCTAACATTAATAAAATTTTTTTAGAAAAATCGGGCATTTTTTCTAATAATGTTGGATCAGTATTTAATATCACAAATGCTGATGTAGTATTGGATGGTAATAATTTAAATTTTGAAGGAAATATTGGAGAATTTGGCTCAGTTTTTGTGCTACAAGGATCAAGTGTCATGTATCTTGCTGATGGCCTTAAAGCAAAATTTATTAACAATAAAGCTGTAACAATTGGTGGGGCAATTTACGGCTATGATTATAAGTGCTTATACAAGAACAAGAAAGAATGCTTATGCATGATACAAGCTGAAGACTTCAATAATGACATCACGATGTATTTTAATAATAACATAGCTACTGAATCAGGAAATGCCATTATTAGTACAAATATACACAACTGCTACATTAATGGCAACTTTTACAATGTCTCAGCAGCAGCTAGCTATTTGAGGGAAATTTCAAATGGCACTTTGGATAATGGTCTATCTACTTTCTCAACAAAACTTTGTATGTGTGATAAAGGTAAATGCCTTCTATTCACTGAAAGAATAACGATATATCCTGGTCAGACACTGCACATTTCAATTACTGCCTTAGATGATATTGGACAAAAGGCTTCTTCTGAAGTGTCTGTGAGACTTTTTCAAAGGAGAAAAATTTCCTTTAAAAAGACAAGAAAATTTTTTGTTCCAATCTTCTCATGGTTTGTATCCAGTTCAAAAAATGTTATTATATCACAAAAGAAGTGCTCTATAGTTCCTGTAACATTTTTTAAAAGAAAGGATGATGATAATAGCTTAGGAAACAAATATCTTGTCATCACTGGGAGGCAGCAATATACTGTTGAATTTCCACAACAATTAAAGTTACCTGTTGACTTAGAAGAGGACTGTCCTATCGGTTTTCAATTTGATACTGACATGGGAATATGCAAGTGCTCGCCTATTTTAAATAACCTTGATTATATCCCTTTTTGCAAGATTACATTACACTTAAATCAAAATTCTTTTCCAGTAATAAGCATTTCTAAGCCATCAAATTTCATAACAGTTTGGATTGGTCTAATTAGTAATGGTACTAACAGCTCTTATTTTGGTGTTTCATCATCATGTTACATCTACTGCAGTTTTAATCCTAAGTATACAACTTTTGTTGTTAATGAGAGTGAAATAACATTAGCTAACTCCAGCAATATTAGTGACAGGATTAATATCTGCATTGACAATAGAGAAGGGCCTTTGTGTTCACAGTGTATCACTGGCTACAGTGCAGTGTTTGGCTCACCTGAATGTAAGCAGTGCAGTAACTGGTGGCTATTAACACTGATAGTATATGCAGTTTCTGGTCCTCTGCTAGTTTATTTGCTGTATGCTCTCAAGCTAACACTAACCAGTGGTACTATCAATAGTTTTATATTCTATGCTCAAATATTGGCTGTTGTTGAAAATCCAGAGCTGCATCATAGCTATCTTTTTAACTTTATTCTGTTAAGCAAGAGTATAGTTGCTCTGTTCAACCTAAGCTTCTACTATCCACTGTGTTTCTACGATGGGATGTCAGAGCTAATGAAGTCTGGAATTGGTTTGGGCTTTCCATTTTATCTCCTATTTATAGTAATTGGCCTCATTATTGCTAGTCGATATTCTGTAAAGCTGTCCAATAGATTATCTCACTCATCAGTTCAAGTACTGGTCACAATTGTACATCTCTCCTTCTCCAGTTTATTAACGTCAGTGCTTATTACATTCTCATCAGTTGAGATACATACAAACACAACAGAAAC